TATGTATTTGTATATTTTCGTTTGTTCTTAAACACTACCCCAAATGGTATCTTATTATATTTATCAAGCCTTCTATTATAAGTTTAGTAGTGCTCGGTCTTACACCAAGCGCTCGTACTGAGTAGTGCTCGGTCTTACACCAAGCGCTCGTACTGAGTAGTGCTCGGTCTTATACCAAGCGCTCGTACTGAGTAGTTCTCAGTCTTACACCAAGCGCTCGTACTCGTTTCCTTTATAATCTATCTTGATGAAAATAGCGTTTGTCCAACTTCAATAGAGTTTTCTCTCTACCGTGCTCGGTCATTGACTGGCATTCAGATTACTTGATGTATATTCAAATAAGCTAAGTATTTATAAGCGTACGGCTTAATCATGTGAATTCTTCTAAGTATTATTCTTTGAAGTGTCCGTATTCATTGGTTTCAGCCTAGAGTCTTAGCACTTGGCATGGTCTTTGCGGTGATCTGTTTGAGCTCTCAAGAGTCAGTTCATTTAATTGGCTCACTTTGTAAGTAACGTTCGTTCTAGTCGTTCTTGTGATATATAGTTGTACTCGGTTTCTTTCTCAACCCGACAGTAACCCTCTCGGTCTTAATCTATTCTGGAACTGGAGACCTTTCTTTCTCGCTCCAAGTGTTTGTTCTCGTTCTGAGTTAGGATTGAACCTTCGGTATTTGGTGTCCTTAATAATCTTTGTACAAAGATGAAATTGAAATGATTGATAATGAAAGATGAAATTGAGATGATTGATAATGAAAGATGAAATTGAGATGATTGATAATGAAAGATGAAATTGAGATGATTGATAATGAAAGATGAAGAGAATATGATATGGATGAAATGTTTTGGATTATGGACGAGCGTTCCGGGGAGGAATGACTCATGAATGTATATTGGAATTGGTAAAGTATGAATGTGAGCATGCTAAGCTGGCGGTTCATCCTGATGTTCCGTGATTACTCGTCCTCACGTAGAGAAGGGTAAGTCATGTATGGGAACGGTAGGAGGTCCTAGTCCTTATGGTTAATTTGGACAGATAGGACTAACCTCAGGTGGCAGTTGTTGAGGGTATCCCAGTTACTACATCACCCGGGTGCACGAACGTCGTAGCTACACAGATTTCATACAGTCCGGACAGTCAGTCTAGTATTAGGCTTTGCATGAAAGAATGATAAATTATCTTGTTTGATTGATTGTGTGAAATATATGTTTATACATGAATTAAATTACATAAGCTTACCCTATTTCCTGTCTTGTCATGTATTCCCGTTCGTTCGTCTTTGTCATTGCGATGATCACCCTGTGGGTGGGAGTAGAAGGAGAAGAGTTGCTGGAAGAAGCATTGGAAGAGGCGCTGGAGGAAGATAACTTAGTAGAGGTAGAATTTAAGACCGAGCAGTAGAACCGTTCGGTCAATAGTAGTCTGATAGTAAGGTGACCGTTCACTCACCTTTTCCCCTTTTGCTTTTGTTTTGACTGTTCGGTATAGGCTTTTGTAAACCGTTCGGTCAGAATTACTTATGACGTTCGGTTTTTAATTTCTGGTCTTTCTGTAAGACCGTTCGGCCACGACCGTACGTTCTCTTTAATATAAGACTGATCTATAATATTATTCAATGTAATTATTCTATCATATAGTTTTAGACTGTATTTTTGGGATGTTACACTATAAGTGTAATTCCACTACAATAAAATAAACTATGAAAGTAAAAAATAGTTAAATAAAATAAATTAATAATAATTTGTTTTCACATATAAAATAATTTTCATAATGTCAATTAAGAACAATTCAACATAGTTTCATCAAATATTTTTATTAATAATATAAATCAATTACGATCAACCAACAATACAATATTATAAAACAATCTTCAATCATACAATGTTCTTGCATACACAGTTACTAAGATCAAGTCACAACCAAACGTTTAGGTATCCTAACTTAAGATTCTATAAAAAAATTTAACTAATTTTCCTTACTTGACAATAAATTATTTTAAATAAATCCCAATAAATTTGGTTTAATATAAGAAACTTATAAACGCTTCAAATAAATCAAAAGTATCTTTACGACGTTATAATAGATATTTATCTTTATTGATCAAACTTTACATAAAACACAACTTTATATGCATGCAAATCAGTCACATGGGAACAACGATACAAAAAAGCTTAAAAAAAATTGATTGGATAAATATCTTATTTTTCTCAGCTTTACTAAAACAATTTCAAATTGAAAAGAACGAACAAGTAAATTATAAAGAGATGATTACTTCTATAAAGTAAAATTAAAATAGTTAAGTTCTTCTATCTGACTATTTTTTAATCTTAACTAATAAATTATACTTCATCCTATTAGTTTACTCTACTTTACTTTGTGATTACATATTTAAATTATAATTTTATAAAAATTACTCGTCTTTATATAATTCAATGCAAACTAATGAAAACCGTCATTATCCAAAAAGAAACTTACTTTAAGTGCGAATGTTTTTTTTTTTTTGGTAAGTGTAAATGCATATTGTTTTTAAGTTTTCAAATTATAAGTTCATTCAAAATATTAACACAGTAAAATTTGCAATTAGGATTTTTTTTTAATTTTCTTCATATTAATAGCAGCATTTTTCTTCTTATACATTTGTGTTAGGAAAAGATACTTATATGAGTGTTGATGTTTTTGTCTGAGTAAGTCATGCAGCTCATTGTTGACCATTGTATTATATAAGTATCAAATTGTCTATCAAATTGTGCAAATATATTTGTAATTTTGTGATATCAACTTGAATTTGTTGGTCAATATGCTGAAATGAATATTAGGTAGAAAATTAGTCACATGAATCATTATTTGCCTGCAACATCCAACTAGTGGTATTCTTTCATTTTGCAGCTGAATCTTCCAAAGTGTGCATAAAATAATTTTTAGACCTCTTGTCATTCAATGTTCAATTGTTTAAATTTTGAGTTGCCAATTTAATTATAGATATATTACTAAATGACACAACTATGTATAATTAATTATATATTAAGGACCAAGTTGGAGACTTATTTGTGCGAATAAAGTGTCCTATAATTATTTATATTAAAAAATTAATGTCATTTTTGACATGTCTTTGTGGGTACTTTTCATACCTTTTAAATTATTACAGCTTATAACTATAATAAGTTTTTTGCACTTGTAGAATTATTATAAATTTTTTACATAACAGAACGTAAATCTTGCATATTAAATCTTAAATCATACAATTTTTCCACCAGACATCACATGGCTTTCAATGTTTTCTTCTGCAGAGTCACACTGTATATAGATTCGTGTAGCACTCTATAAAAACATTTTCTTTCAGCCACCAATCTTTAAAAAAAAAATTCTCATTTTTAATTAAAAAAAATTGTATTAAGAAAACCAATTAACATCTTTAAATTGTATTATTCTCTTAATAATTTTTAATGTTTTTTTCATAAATGAAAAGTAGATAAAAATATCATTTTTAGCTAAAAATAAAGAGTATATTAGAGATAGTATTTAATATTCCTCAACTAAAAGCCATAAAAGTGGTCTTTATTTAAATACTTCCAAATTAAAAATTATATAAAAATGCTCTTTATTTAAATACTTCCAAATTAAAAAATTATATAAAAATGGGACGAGACTCTTTCCAGGAAAGACCACGTCATCACCCCACCATTACACTTTTGATGGCTCAACCAATGTAAGTTAATAAAATATGTCACGCCACCATATAACTATCAAAATCAACGTAAGCAAAATTTTACACGTTTTGCATTTTGCAATGATAATATAAATGAATTTAAATTTCTTAACTTATTGAATTTTGATTAAAGTCTGATAGTTTCTTTTTCGTTCCTTCAAAATTTTCAATATCTAATAGTAATATTATTTTTCAAGTAATCATTTAACTTATTCAATGTATCGGTATTAGAATTTCAAATTTTAGAAGCATTAAATTAAAATACAAGAAAAGTGTTAGAATATTTTAAAACAGAAGATACAACCAAGAATCTTCAACCCTTCTTCCGCGTTATTGTTCACTACCCCTGGGATGCGTACGTCACCGCGTTTGAGCTTTTTATAATTACCCATCGTAGGGTTCAAGAGATGAGGTCGATGTGGGACATTCTTATTTTTTGAAGTGGTCAATAATTCAATCAGGATATTCATGGATAACTCTTCCGTTCACTTTTTTAAACTTACATTTGTTTGAGCAGTCAAATCTACCTCTTTTTCCTTCTCCTTTCTCACCCTTAAAACCCCCCTTCCTCTCACCTTCTTTGTTAAGAAAGCCTCCTCTTTTTCCTATTTGATTCACACTTTCACACTCTCTAAGACCAATCCCTTATATCCCCTCCACTCAGCACAACATAACTCGCCACTTCACCAACAATTTTTCACTCCAATATCCCACTTTTGTAACTTTTATGAATGATCCATTTGGCATCCTTTTTGGATATAACTTCCTTCCCCTACTCATTTTCTTTCAGAGTTTCTCTGCAAAACTTTAATTTCTTGTTATTGGTTCTTCTCAACAAATGGAAGAGAGTGCGCAGTGCGAACAAGTTAGTGTCATTGATGAGTTGCTGCTAGGGAAGGAGCTCACAAAGAAGCTTTGTGAGCAACTATTCTCATCTTCCTCTTCCTCATCATCATCCTCCTCCTCTTCTTGTGACACAAATGAAGTCTTGATTGAGAAAATAATTTCCACCATGGAGAAGGCACTTGCCAAGGTGAATTGTATGGCTAATGTAGGAGAAAGTAAGGCCATGATGGATTCCCATTGCTCTTTCACAAATGGTAGTCCCAAAAGTGAGGTCGTGGAGCCTGAGGTTGAGCACAAACATGTCTCTAAGAAAAGGTAATGTCAAAAGTGCTTTTTGAAAATTATTGTTTCTTTTGGACATGGGGTGAAAAGGTTCATGGTCTGATTTCAAAAGGGGTGTTCTTTGAATCTGTGGAATGCAGAAAGACCATGCCAAGGCGGAGAGAGCAAGTGGAGGTGTGCTTGGGAACAGAAGGAAATAAGGAAGATGGCTATAGCTGGAGAAAGTATGGGCAGAAGGACATTCTTGGAGCAAAGTTTCCAAGGTAAAAAATTGTTTTTTTCTCTTCAAACATGCATAATTGAAGTGTTCTTTTTTACCATAATGAAAATTTGCACAATTTCTAATTTGAATATGACATGTTTAATCAGAGAAAGTTCACCTGTTTAACCTTTTGATATTACTATTATTTTGGTAGGTACCCTCTAACCAAAAGAACAAATATCATTGGCCAGTTAGCCAATGAAGTCTAAAGAGGAAATAAAAAACCAAATTTTAGCACGCCTAGGCCCTTGTTCCCTCTTTCTAACGTTTTCACTTTACAGCCACTTAATGAGTAGGACAAAGTGATTTTAAAAAGACAACAAAAACTTACCCAAAGGACAATATTAGCTAGATTGAATTCACTACAATAGCAGCTTTTTAATAAATGCAGTCTTTTGTGGCCGAGGCTTCACCATGTGAGGTGCAAGAAACTGTTGATCCAGTCATAAATTAGAAAAATCTGACAATCTTATCAAGTTGCCGAGCTTCTAGCTTTATTATGGTCTTAAAAACTTGGCAGGTACTTTTTTTTAAGCATTGAAAACAGTACTCATATTCAAGCCGAATTCACAATTGTACAATAGGAGGCAGATAAAAAATATGTCCTGAACACCCCTTTTTGGTATAAGCTAAAAGTTTAATGCTTTTACCAAAAAGACCACAAAACCAGTTCAAAATTGTTAGTTTTGATGTTACCTGTATCATCAGCATGCAAAAAAGTGCACTGTCACGTTAATTCTTCCACTTACTGAAGTGTTTTTTACATTGAAGCGATCCTCGGTCATGTTTTTTTCTGACAAAACAGTGGTTTTTGTTGCAGGGGATATTACAGATGCACATATAGAAATATACAAGGATGTCTGGCCACTAAGCAAGTGCAAAAGTCAGATGAAGATCCAATGATATACGAGATAACATACATAGGAAGACACACATGCACCCAAGCAAGTCACTTGAAAAAGACAGCGGTGCCCCCATCAAAAACCAAGGTGAGAATCGAAGAAAACGAGCACCAAACCAATGAAAAGAATCAACCACAACAAGAGAAAATAGAGCAACCCCCAGAGACAATTTTCTCCTTTGGATCACAAGGTGAAGTTAAAGTAGAGGATTTGGACTTAGAAATTTTCCCATCATTTTGCTTCTCTTCTCCATCAGTAGGGTCTGAAAACGAGGAAAACAACAACATCTTCCCTTACTCCATGATCGACAACAACTTATTGGAAAACTTCTCTCCTTCATTCATGTCTACAACAACAACTTCAGAATCAGACATGTTCTTCAACTGGGAGAGCACTGGACTAGGCCAAAGCGTGCATAACTCCACTTCAGATATCACTGATATAGTTTCCACACCAACTTCAGTCACCTATTCATCAATAATGGACCTTGATATCTTCCTTGATAAGAACGATTTCGACACAGATTTTCCTATGAACACCAGAGAACTTTGCATTTGATCAATTGTCTCACAAGTTAACAGCATATATAATTTATATGCAGATTAACAGCGAGCTTTGTAGATCCTGACTACCATCATAACCGAGGAAGCCGGTCTTTGAAAATCATAGTGTCCAGAAGACAGTAAAATTTCCCTCTCTTGCTGGTTAAGAAGAATTTTGGTGTAAATGTGAAAATAGTTTGCAGGTTGTAGCTAGCTGTAGTCTTTTGTTGTTTCTCTCTTCAGTGGTAGCATGATCAAGTATCTTCTTCTGGTTCATACAGCCAAAAATTTTTAAATAAATGAATTTTTACCTCCATACATCTGCTCTTCAAAATTATGATCAGCATTTTTCACTGTATCAAGGCTAACCAATGGACTATTTCACCTACCAAAAGACAGAATCATGACCAAATGCTCTAATAGTTACTGACAGATTTTTAGATATTTCCTAGATTAAGCATGCTTCGAGGAAAAACAGCTGCAGATGTCCCCTCGTGAGGATTGGGACCACAAAGCATCATTCATGAAGTTACAACCCTCGTCTTATATAACTCTAAAAGGCTAAAGGGAATCATAATTCCTCAGAAGGAAACAAATACATTAGGATAAATGGAGTTTAGATGCGTCTGAACATAAAATCTTTATCAGTAGTATGCATAAAAAGGATGAATAGAAAGGAGTTGTGGATTGTCTTCATTAGCAACCAACCATGCTTCTCTAAATCCTATATTTTTGTGAACATGGTGAATAAACATTATCTTTATTCTCACATTGGCGTGTCACAGGGACAACACAAATAAAAGTGATGAAAATTACGAAAACAACATGATAATAACCTTGACCGCATCAAAAAGAAAATCAATGACTCAAGTCACACCAGCTAGCTACTTTGGTACATGATTTTGTCTCTTTGACTAGGAATGAAAGAACTATTGCAAACCTCTATTATATTTATCATACACGATTATTCACATGTTAATTCAGGATATGATAGTTCATTGGTGAAAGTCGCAGAATATAAGATAACTCTTTTTACCTGAACTGCTTGGTCATTTTCAAAGATCAATGTTAAAGTAATGATGGTCAACAAAGGAGTTGCATAAACCATTGTCAAAACCGTTTACTTTCTTTCTTTTTTTCTGAATCATTTTATTAAAAAAAGTGGTAATGTTTTCCTGTTTTTACTAATTTTCAATCTCATTCCTATGGTTTTTCATAATAGTGCAACCAGAATGATACCGATGATTACATATGTTGTATATGTTATATAATTTTGTATTGTTTAGTTAACTTAAGATCAGTTGAACAGATAATAAAATCATTAACGATGATATTCAATTAAGTCTATATTTTTGTCATTGATTAATTTCTTAATTTGATTAACATATACCTAAAGAAACCTCATATTTTATAAGGAAATTCCTTTACACTTCAATAGAGACATGATCCCTCAAAAGCTTACATCTTATAAATGAGTTGAAAAGGAGACTATCAAAATAGAATGAAAATACCAGTAAATCACAGTATATAGGTTGAGTTCTAGACTTTGCATTGAAAATAAAATTTTGATGCTTTTTTTTTATTTGACATAAATTAGGGTGTTTGATTATTATTTTATGAAATTAAAGGAGTGATGACATTTTAAATTGATATTGAACTTTGTGGATGATTTTATGTAGAATGATATTACGACGTTGATATAATATATTTAAGTATTATGTTGATTTTTTAGTTGAATTTTGCATGAGATATTTATTAAGAAAACTATGAATAAGACCACAAAAGTGTAAGATATAGAGATTTGTCCCCATAAGGATCCGAATGATTTTGTATCAAATTAATAAAAATAATAAACATATATATATATATATATATATATATATATATATATATATATATATATATATATATATATATATATATATATATATTTAGATATTTATGTTTTTTATAATAACAAGTTTTTAAAGGTTACATCTATAGGCTGTGAACTATAACAAGTTAGTTATTACTAATTAATAACTATAATGATTTATTCTTATAAGAGAACTATAACAAGTTATTTATTACTAATTAATGATATTAATATATAAGAATGACAAAGCTGGATGAACTGAATTTTTGTACCTGTTGATCCATTTTGTCAATTTATGTGGACCAATAATAAGATGGGACAGATCATCTCGCATAAATTTAAATTGGAAAACATATTATATTTTTTAATATTAAATAAAAATGTAAAATATTTCATGCAAAAACAAGGGTAATTTGTGATCATTAGGTGTGTATATATAAGAGTTATTGAGTAAACATTCAAATAAATGCATGAACATAATCATTATGATTAATAATATTCATAATTTTAATAACTTTTTAATAGTCATGAAAAATTAAGATTTTCAAAAAGTATAATTATTATTATTTTTTGAACAAATATTTTATTGGTTAGGTCTAAATTATATTTTTTGTATTTTTTTTTGACGCAATGTATTATGTTTGTTAATTCACAATAACAAAATTAAAAATAAATATTTTTGACTCGTAAACTAGATCTTATGTAAAATAAATTAAAAAAATTAACTTGCATTTAATTTATATAATGAGTCAAAAATGGTAGATTGACTCACATTTCCATCCTTAGTTTTATATAAACCCTTAAAAAAACATGACATAACACAATGTTAAATTCTGCAAGATATAATATATATATATATATATATATAACATAATTAAGTATCTTTTGCTTTCATACTTTTGCTTCTTAAAATTATGGTCAACATTTTCCACGACATAAAAAACATAAGGAGATGGAATAACAATGTTCACTTATAATGTGACAGAACAATTTCACCTAAGAAAAGACAAAAATATGACCAATGGTCAAAACAGTAATTGATAGCAATGTAAAAAATATCGTACAATTCATGATATGAATTATATGATATAATACAATTAGACTCCTCCACGATATAAATCGTAAGATGTATTGTTTTTTTTTACCAGGCTCAAATCGTATGATACAAGTGTGAATCACACAAATCATGATTTTATTCATGATATGGGTCTAAATGATTTTCTAAACAGGTTCGAGTCAATCCACCCCCAATTTGAAACCCTAATTTTTGTTTCTTTATTTTTCTACGCCTTGAAATTGATTAACGATAATCTTTATTCGAATCAAGTTCTCCTCTCTTGTCATCTCCTTTGTTGTCTCTTCTATGTCATCCTCTCTCTTCTCGCACATTCATTTGTTTGTTGTGTATGAGCGACTCGCATTTGCAAGTGGTTGTGCACGATGGTGGTTATGTCTTGCTTTGCGCATGCCTTTGTTAATCTAATTATTGTAGTCCGATGATGCAGTGATGGTCACACAATGGTGCGATGGTGGTTGTGCGGTGGTCCTCTGTTCTGTGTAGAGAGGTTTCTCAGCTTTTGTAAATGGAGTGTGTTTTTCATTTGTGGTGGTTAAGCATGAGTAAATAAAAAATAGAGGTTAATATTACTTGGAATTATTGTGAAAGTATTCCACCAAATAGAATACAAGTAAAGTGAAAATTTTGTTCTTATACTTGTTGGGGGTGACATAACAAGGATGAAATAACATCTTGCTAGAAAGAAAAAAATGTGATTTCTATGTTATAGTGTCTCAGATGATGTGAAGGAAATATTTGTGAAGATGTTGAAAGGTAAAGAAAGAAAGAACAGAGGATAAAAACTTTGATTGTGGAAGAGACATATAAAAAGAAGTGACAAAAAAGAAAGAATTATATTCAACAAATGACAATCAATGCATTTTATAAGAATAGAGAAGATGTAATTATTTTTAGGACTAAATGTTTAATGTCATATGATTACAAGGACTCAATTCATTCATTAATAAAGTTGACGGATGAAAATGATTGAAAGTCTCAAAACGAAATTCATTTTTCCTAAAAGTTAAGAGACTAAAAATGTATTAAACATTTTAAAAATTAAAGGAAATATTTGCTTCCCAATTAATTTAAGATGATTTTGACTTGGTGTGACAATTTGAAGTAATTTAATTTGATGTGATTATGAATTATCAAATAATAATTATGAAAGTTAGGAGAATAATTTTATTAGGAAGTAAAAATAGCCAAAAGAAAGATATTGATTGGTATGAATTAAGTAAAATCACTTAAGTCTTAACACTATAAATTGAGATAATTAAGCTATCATTTTCCATTAAATTTCACAATGAATTATCTTTAAGTTACCTTCATCCTTTTCATCTGCTTTTTTGGTCAACAATGAGATTTTAGTATTGGAAAATTGCACAAAGTTGACCATGAGATTTTTGTACCCATTATGTTTGTGATTCCATAAGAGCAACACTATTAAAGTTCATTATACATGGTTTATAGCAATCTAATTACACCTGTCCACAACCATCTTTGTGCTCATCTATCAACCCAAATGTTTCCTTGGTAAACTTTCTATTTCTTAATATTATTTTTTATATTATATTCATATGACAACCTTTTTTGGTTTATTTTATTAGATAAGTGGAATAGTTAATGAACTTGATCAAGAGTTTCTAAGTTATTGTGGGAATAACATAGGCTTTTGAAATCATGAATGAAAGAAACATAGAACGAGTAAAATCATGACACTACCATACTTGCAATAGATATATATATTCAAGGAATGATCTCAACAAATACTTGAACATGAAAATGTATTACATGGTGACACTTAGATATAAACAAAATCATTATAGGCATAAAGACATCACGAGTTGGTGTTGAATCACAACTAAAATGTACAAAAGAGGTTTAGTTGAAATATAACTATGTTTGAACAAAAGCCATGTTCCCTATTACACAAGTATCGTCGACAACAGTCAAATTGTCTTACCCTTATAAACTTTTTGTGAAAATTAAACTCAATCATGTAATAATGCAATTTACAAAAACTAAATTCTTGGTTTTAATACATTGTCTTTCTCTTGTTGAATCATTTAAATTAAATTCCTTAAAACTATCACACCAAATTAAAATTCTCCAAACTATCACACCAAGTGAAAAACATATAATATTAATTAGGAAACATATCTTCCCTTTCAATTTTAAAGGTTAAACATGTTTTTAGTCCCTTAACTTTTTGTGAAATTGACTTTCATTCCTATTTCAAAATTTCAATCATTTTAATCCGTAAAATTTATTAATGGATGAATTTAGTCATTGTAACCAAACAACATTAAAGATTCGCTAATGTGGCAAACAATGTTTCCACGTGTTCAACACATGCAAACATAGACACACATATGTAACAAGTGGACACACACGTGGATACGT